CAGGGCAGGATGGATATGGGTCTGTAACAGTTTGGATCTAGAGTGTCACCCCCTTTGAAGAGGGGGATGACCGGAAGCCAGCCATTACACCCTCATGAGCGAAATAATGACATCACATCACCGCTTACTTCAACTCTGGCCGTGTCTCAATGTTAGAAGTTTCCTCTTTTGTTTTCCGTCAAGGAGACCAGTCTGAGAGGAATTGATTGGTGGATGAAAGAGGAAAGGAAGAAAATGATTTTTTCTATTGTACTCTACCAGTACACCTTCCTCTCTCTCCTCCTCCTCCCTCCCCTCCCTCTCTCCTCCCTCTACCAGTACACCTTCCTCTCTCTCCTCCTCCTCCCTCTCCCTCTCTCTCCTCCCTCTACCAGTACACCTTCCTCTCTCTCCTCCTCCTCCCTCTCCCTCTCTCTCCTCCCTCTACCAGTACACCTTCCTCTCCCTCTCTCTCCTCCCTCTACCAGTACACCTTCCTCTCCCTCTCTCTCCTCCCTCTACCGGTACACAGCTCTCTTCCTCTCTCTCCTCCTCCTCCTCCTCCCTCTACCGGTACACAACCCTCTCCCTCTCTCTCCTCCCTCTACCGGTACACAGCTCTCTTCCTCTCTCTCCTCCTCCTCCTCCTCCCTCTACCGGTACACAACCCTCTCCCTCTCTCTTCTCCTCCCTCTACCGGTACTCAGCCCTCTCTCTCTCTCTCTCTCTCTCTCTCTCTCTCTCTCTTCTCCTCTTCCTTCCTCCTCAGGGCCAGTCACGTGTGTTTAGAAGCAGACCTGAACTGTGGGGTGGCAGGTAGCTCAGTGGTTAAGAGCGTTGTACCACTAACCGAAAGGTCGCTGGTTCTAATCCCCGAGTCGACTAAGTGACAAATCTGTCGAAGTGCCCTTGAGCAAGGCACTTAACCCTAATTGCTCCTGTAAGTCGCTCTGGATAAGAGCGTCTGCTAAATGACTAAAATGTAACTGGGTGCAGTTTCTGGACGGGGCCGTGGATCACAACCTACAGAAGATCAAAGTTCTGATTCAAGGCTCCAGCTAGACGATGACAGCTAGTGTGCGTGTGTATGAGGTGAATGAAAACAACGAGGTGTGAAGAGGACTGTTGGTCTTTTCTCTGATGGACTGGGACTTTGTTGAATGTTACTTAAGTGTGTGTACTTCCCTCTTGTGTACACACACACACTCTACATCATTTTAACAGCAGATATATTACATATATTACATTACTGCAAGACAAATATTTGCCAAACATACATCTTGCTTCATGAATGTATGAATATTTCTAGATTAATTTAGTCTTTACCACTTTTATTTTGTATTTCAGTGTGACATACAGCCAGATGCTTTGCAGTGGCATAAGCCTGTTTGGAAATCTTTCTTTGAGTGACAGACTTGAATTCTGAAAGAACAATATTTTATTTCAGGATATTTAAGCAAGTTATGCGTTTGATTTGATTTGACAATTTAAAATGAATAAAGAAGCCACACTAGGCAACAATACATGTACAACAATTATGGATGATTACATAGACAAAGTCATACCTTGTTCCCATTGTGGTCCATTATGAAGGAAAGAGATTTCCATGTACTTCTGCTGCCCACACTTGAATAATTTGATTTTTTTCAGATTATTGTTAAACAATTTGACTATCAACAGTAATAAAAACCATGCTATATAATGTGATTTTATTAAATCTCAATGAACAGCACAATGTATTACTAAATAAAAACTTGCCTTAGCCTTGCACTAAAACAGGAGGTGTAATAGTGGGTGGAGGATGTAATGGGATATAATAGTATATTATAGAATAGGGGTTCTTCAACTTTCTCAGCCTGGGACCCAGATGAGAAATTCTGTGTTTTCCTGGGACCCAAACTTATGAAAACATGCAACTATACGTAAATATCGGTACATTTCATTGCCCTTATGTCTAAAACAAATGCAATATAGACAAAAACTAATAACAATTAAATGAAATACCCATATATATAGCAATTCATGTTTATTTTTCTCATTAAAAACACTCTTACATATCTGTCTAGGTAGGAACTGTTGCTGTTAAAATACAATAAATGATTTTCATTCTGATTCTGAACTGGAATAAACTGATTGATCACATCAGTCGAATGTATAACAGAACACACACACAGGCTCAGTTTTTGATAGTGCAACCCTAAGTAACAGTACAGATGAAAAATGATCAGACTTACTGTACATCTTACTGTAGAAAGTATTGTTGAAAGAAAGGTCTAGATTGGAACTATTGCTGTTAAAACACAATAAATAATTGTTATTCTGAACAGATGTAGACCAGAAAACACACACAGTCCTAATGAGAGGTGTGTGGCTGGTTGAAATGTTCAACAAGCATGTCTATTCTGGGCTCAGTTTTCGACAGTGCAACTCTGAGGTCATGCTCAGTTTTGAGTCTGTTTCTGTACTTGTTTTAAAAGTATGCCAGGGTTGAGAACCCTGACTCACATAGGTATGTGGTGCCAAACTGGATCAGAACATCTACTGCTTTCTCAGACAGGCAGGAGACCGCTTCCTGCTGTCGATGAGCAACACAGAATTGTGCGAGTGTTTGCCTCAAAAAGCATCTTGCTTCAATCAGTTTATTACAGTTCAGAATAAAAAGTATTACTTGTATTTTAACAGCAGCAGTTCCAACCTAGACTTGTTTTCAACAATAATTTATACAGTAAGATGTACAGTAGGCCTGATCATTTTTCATCTTCATATGTGACCGACCGGCTCGATTCGGTCTTATGTAGCAACATTTGAAATTGTGTTTTTTACATTGGATAAAAGTAGAGACTCAGAGCTAGAAAATGGTATATCATACACTACAGTTGAGGAACAATGGGAAAGTCATTCTACTTTGAAAGTTGATAAACTTGTAATCTGACTTTTGAGAAAATGGCCCTTGAATGTTTTGGTAAACCTACTGGAGAGCTCTTCTTTGTCTACACCCATTCAGCATCGTTCACACACTCTTAAGCCTTAGCCTCACCCATCTCTTTAAATATAATATAATATGCCATTTAGCAGACGCTTTTATCCAAACCGACTTACAGTCATGCGTGCATACATTTTTGTGTATGGGTGGTCCCGGGGATCGAACCCACTACCTTGGCGTTACAAGCGCCATGCTCTACCAGCTGAGCTACAGAGGACCAGAGTTGGTTGCACTGTCTTTAAGGATTCACATATAAGGCCATGTACTAAACAACCAAAGACTTCAAGACTAAAGGCTGGTTTATACTACGTGTATCGACAGTTGTCGCAGTGACATCATGAACATTCTATTGTCGTCTGACATCAAACTTGTCGTTGTCGTTATGAAAAAGTATAAACACAAAAACTACAGGCTGCATGACATCAGCAGCCTGGTGGTCAAAATAGCAGAACTAGAAAATAGCTTACGGTTGTGAGTGTGACGAAATAAAAGCAGGGCATTCTACTGGAGAATTTTAGATCTTGGACATTGTCTCGTTGGCCTAACGTTATATCCTAATTTTACTTTGGTGCAGGTCATGTTCTTCACATTACCGTCTCTGGTAAACACATACTATATAAAATAAAATCAAAGTTCATTTGCCACATTGTCACGTTGGTTGAATGACGGGTCAGACCAAGGCGCAGCGTGATATGCGTACATGTTTATTAATGTTATAAACAACACGACAAAACAACAAAGGAAACGAACCGTGAAGTCCAAGGTAGTACAGAACAACAAATCTTACACGGAACAAGATCCCACAACTACACAGTGCCAATAGGCTGCTTAAGTATGGTTCCCAATCAGAGACAACGAGCGACAGCTGCCTCTGATTGGGAACCACACCGGCCAACATAGAAATATACATACTAGAATACCCCACATAGAAAATGCACAACAAGGAATATACACACCCTGACTCAACATATAAGCGTCCCCTGAGTCAGGGCGTGACACACATGCACTGGATACAGAAGGTGTAGTGAAATGGTTACTTGCAAAGTGGAGTCTAGCTAGCTAGCTAAACAATTAACCATAATCCCAACTCATAACGTTACTACCCGGCATGAATCTGCAGGTAGCTAACCAACCAGGTTCAATGTTAGCTAGCTAACATTAGGCTATAACTAGCAATACAAATGGCTCTGAGATACGAATAATATTACTACATAGATCATACATGTAACGTTACCTAGCTAGCTAACAGTAAGCTTTAACTAGCAATCAAAGCGACTTTCTGACAAAATTAGAAACTTATAATATCTGAAAATATAGCTAGCTAGACTCTCTTACCCAAACACATGGATGAACGCTTCTCCCTATCTGTCACAGATGCCATGGTTGCCCTTAGTTTGAAGATGTAATCCGGAGACAGGTGTTTTATACAACAGCCTTCTGTGTTTTCTCTTTTCGACTCCATCTGCATATTTGCAATCAAACAGCAGAATTTTCTCCATCTCTTTAGCTATCATACTCTATTCCACCGGGCATTCCACTGATTTCAAAACTCGGTCCTCCAGAAAGTGGAGAGCAACACTTCAGCAGTTCTACTACGTGACATCTTTCAAAAAATCTGCGTTAGAAATAATGACCTACACATACTGACCAACTCATGTTATAGACAGAAGCGTGCTACATGGCAGACCAATCCGAACTCATCTCTCGGCATGTCCAGCCCATCTATTACCTCAGCCAATCATGGCTAGCGGGGTTCCTGTCTTTTTCCGTGGCTAAACCAACTAGGCTCGTAATTTAACAATTGTATTTGTAAATACAGATGGCATACAAGTTTATTATAAAGGCACATGAAAGTTTGCATGTCCTTAAGGCATTTCTGCCAAAAAAAACGCATTTTGATTTTAAAAAAAAGTTTACGTTCAAATCCCTCTCCTGTGAAGTAGTGACTAGCGACATATATTAAATAATTATACATTTACTCTGACACATCGCGACCCACCATTAACAGGTCAGTGTCGCGACCCATACTTTAACAAAGGCTGATATAAGGATATAACAGGATAATACGGTATAAATTGCAGAACTTATTTGAGTTATTATAGTTATTCTCACAAGGGCTTTACTGTCTACGGCAGTGGGGGGACAGCACTGGTGACAGGTAGGATGTCCACATTGCAGCTTGCCTTAATGTTCCTGAATTGGTCACAGTTGAAGTTGGCCACTAGCTTCTTAGGACCGGGTCTGTATGGAGTAAAGGGCATCTTCACACGCAGCCGTTGCCCTTGTTTTAGGAAAGGAATTCTGAGGAGACACATGAAATAAATTATACCTCAAAGCATCTTTAGATCTCTAAACTTCAACACACAAGGTAGTGTAAAATATTTCGGATGGAAAAACTCAGCTTTAACCACATGAACAGCCCATAAATGCATGTCCTTTCTAGTTTAGCCAAGAGCTAAATTATCTCTCGTGCACAGACTACGTAACATAAATTGTATTGAATCATCTGTCAAAAGACTGTGATGCCACCACTAAAAAGGAACCATAGTTCCGGTGCTTTGGTTTTCTCACTAGATATCTGAACATATCAGGATTGGGTGAAGGTGGTACTGAAAGTGTGGGCGGGGATTTCAAGAAATTATTTAGGGCGGGGATTTCAAGCAGAAAGTTTTCAGAAGGGGGTCTGAGAGTTTCTGTTTAGGGGGGTGGTGACTTCGCTAGTCTTCCATCAGAAACTAATCAAGCATCTGACACAATTACCGGAATAATTTTTGTTCTGGGTTTCCGAGATTAAGAGCTAAATTGCCATCTTTACGAGCAAGGTTTCGGTTTGTCATAAAACCTGAATCCATCCCACTGGGCAAAAACTGGTTCCACATAGGTCCCCATCCACATCCAGGATTCAAGTCTGGACACATCTCACTGGGCACAGACGTCAGTTCAACGTCTAGTTCTGATTTACACTACCGTTCAAAAGTTTGGGGTCACTTAGAAATGTCCTTGTTTTAGAAATATTTTATTTTTTTTTGTCCATTAAAATAACATAAAATTGATTAGAAATACAGTGTAGACATTGTTAATGTTGTAAATGGCTCATGTAGCTGAAAACGGCAGATTTTTTATGGAATATCTACATAGGCGTACAGAGGCCCATTATCAGCAACCATCAGTCCTGTGTTCCAATGGCACGTTGTGTTTGCTAATCCAAGTTTATCATTTTAAAAGGCTAATTGATCATTAGAAAACCCTTTTGCAATTATGTTAGCACAGCTGAAAACTGTTGTGCTGATTAAAGAAGCAATAAAACTGGCCTTCTTGAGACTAGTTGAGTATCTGGAGCATCAGCAATTGTGGGTTCGATTACAGGCTCAAAATGAACTTTCTTCTGAAACTCGTCAGTCTATTCTTGTTCTGAGAAATGAAGGCTATTCGATGCGAGAAATTGCCAAGAAACTGAAGATCTCGTACAACGCTGTGTACTACTCCCTTCACAGAACAGCGCAAACCGGTGCACAACTGAGCAAGAGGACAAATACATTAGAGTGTCTAGTTTAAGAAACAAGCGCCTCACAGGTCCTCAACTGGCAGCTTCATTAAATAGTACCCGCAAAACACCAGTCTCAACGTCAACAGTGAAGAGGCGACTCCGGGATACTGACCTTCTAGGCAGAGTTGCAAAGAAAAAGCCATATCTCAGATAATAATAATAAAAGATTAAGATGGGCAGTCTGAGATATGGCTTTTTCTTTGCGCTGTTCTGTGAAGGGAGTAGTACACAGCGTTGTACAAGATCTTCAGTTTCTTGGCAATTTCTCGCATGGAATAGCCTTCATTTCTCAGAACAAGAATAGACTGATGAGTTTCAGAAGAAAGTTCTTTGTTTCTGGCCATTTTGAGCCTGTAATCGAACGCACAATTGCTGATGCTCCAGATACTCAACTAGTCTCAAGAAGGCCAGTTTTATTGCTTCTTTAATCAGCACAACAGTTTTCAGCTGTGCTAACATAATTGCAAAAGGGTTTTCTAATGATCAATTAGCCTTTTAAAATGATAAACTTGAATTAGCAAACACAACATGCCATTGGAACACAGGACTGATTGTTGCTGATAATGGGCCTCTGTACGCCTATGTAGATATTCCATTAAAAATCAGCCATTTCCAGCTACAATAGCCATTTACAACATTAACAATGTCTACACTGTATTTCTGATCAATTTGATGTTATTTTCATGGACAAAAAATTGCTTTTCTTTCGAAAACAATAACATTTCTAAGTGACCCTAAACTTTTGAACGGTAGTGTACATTTGGTTGAGTTGTCAACTAACGTGAATTCAACTTGAAATCAACAAAAAGGTTAAAAAGTTTACTTTTTGCAAATCCAATCAGTTTTCCATGTTGATTCAACGTCATCACATTGATTGTTTTGGTTGAAGTTACATGGAAACAACGTTGATTCAACCAGTTTTTGCCCAGTGGGATGGATTCAGGTTTTATGACAAACCGAAACCTTGCTCGTAAAGACGGCAGAGAAATGTCACATAGGCCTACCTGGCTTCCATTGTCTCTGTCAGCAAGCCACTGCCAGTCACTGTGATGGAGCAGTCTCTTAGACCCTTGGATAGAGGGTTCTCAAACACAACCTCTGCCATCATGTCACTATACTGCAATTCAGATCCAATGGCCTAAAAGAGAAGAAACATCAGAATAAAAGCATCTGCTAGATAGTATATTATATTAGAACTATCACACTGAATAAACCCCATCTCCAGTTGAGTGGTTGTTACTGATATTGGCATTGTATTGAATAGATCAATTGTTCAGATGACAGTCCAACACTTTAGATTTTCATCTTCACATCACCTTTATTCACAGGCCAACCGTTATTTTCCTTGCAAATTGCTATTCTCGCTACTAGTATGTTTGCCACCTACAAATTTGAAATGGTAACGTAAAGAGCCTTGGGGCTTGTTCCATAATGACCCCAATGAATGTCACTCAGAGAAAGTTGAGCTGTTCTAAGTGGGTTATTGGAGTGGCTTAAGGATCTGACAGATGCGCGAAATTACAATTTGGGGAATATACAGTACTCACTTTGATGGTGAGTGAAGGGCTCTCTGGCACAATGTCTTTCTCTGTGATGTACACTGCATCACTGTTGTCCTTGTCTGTGACCACAGCCGAAACCTTGATGCTGTTGCTCTCCCGCATGTTCTCACCGTACACAGAGAAGGGGATGTGGATGGGTATAATCAGATCTGCCAACACAGACAATGCATTTGATTGTCAATGTATCACAAAGGCTAACATTCTGTGGTGTCCTCAGTACAACGTTAGCAACCCAAACATTCTGTGGTGTCCTCAGTACAACGTTAGCAACCCTAACATTCTGTGGTGTCCTCAGTACAACGTTAGCAACCCAAACATTCTGTGGTGTCCTCAGTACAACGTTAGCAACCCTAACATTCTGTAGTGTCCTCAGTACAACGTTAGCAACCCTAACATTTTGTAGTGTCCTCAGTACAACGTTAGCAACCCTAACATTCTGTAGTGTCCTCAGTACAACGTTAGCAACCCTAACATTATGTGGTGTCCTCAGTACAACGTTAGCAACCCTAACATTCTGTAGTGTCCTCAGTACAACGTTAGCAACCCTAACATTCTGTAGTGTCCTCAGTACAACGTTAGCAACCTGACAGCCATAAGAGTTAGTGTCAGTTGATTTGCTACACAGCTATACATGAGACTTTACAGCTTTGTTAAATTTAACAGTTACAGTTGAAGTCGGAAGTTTACATACACTTAGGTTGAAGTCATTAAAACTCGTTTTTCAACCACTCCACAAATTTCTTGTTAACAAACGATAGTTTTAGCAAGTCAGTTAGGACATCTACTTTGTGCATGACACAAGTTATTTTTCCAACAATTGTTTACAGACAGATTATTTCACTTATAATTCACGGTATCACAATTCCATTGGGTCAGAAGTTTACATACACTCAGTTGACTGTGCCTTTAAACAGCTTGGAAAATTCCAGAAAATGATGTCATGGCTTTAGAAGCTTCTGATAGGCTAATTGACATAATTTGAGTCAATTGGAGGTGTACCTGTGGATGTATTTCAAGGCCTACCTTCAAACTCAGTGCCTCTTTGCTTGACATCATGGGAAAATCAAAAGAAATCAGCCAAGACCTCAGAAAAACAATTGTAGACCTCCAAAAGTCTGGTTCATCCTTGGGAACAATTTCCAAACGCCTGAAGGTACCACGTTCATCTTTACAAACAATAGTACACAAGTATAAACACCATGGGACCACGCAGCCATCATACCGCTCAGGAAGGAGACGAGTTCTGTCTCCTAGAGATGAACATACTTTGGTGCGAAAAGTGCAAATCAATCCCAGAACAACAGCAAAGGACCTTGTGAAGATGCTGGAGGAAACAGGTACAAAAGTATCTATATCCACAGTAAAACGAGTCCTATATCGACATAACCTGAAAGGCCGCTCAGCAAGGAAGAAGCCACTGCTCCAAAACCGCCATAAAAAAGCCAGACTACGGTTTGCAACTGCACATGGGGACAAAGATCATACTTTTTGGAGAAATGTCCTCTGGTCTGATTAAACAAAAATAGAACGGTTTGGCCATAATGACCATCGTTATGTTTGGAGGAAAAAGGGGGACACTTGCAAGCCGAAGAACACCATCCCAACCGTGAAGCACGGGGGTGGCAGCATCATGCTGTGGGGGTGCTTTGCTGCAGGAGGGACTGGTGCACTTCACAAAATAGATGGCATCATGAGGAAGGAAAATGATGTGAATATATTGAAGCAATATCTCAATACATCAGTCAGGAAGTTAAAGCTTGGTCGCAAATGGGTCTTCCAAATGGACAATGACCCCAAGCATACTTCCAAAGTTGTGGCAAAATGGCTTAAGGACAACAAAGTCAAGGTATTGGAGTGGCCATCACAAAGCCCTGACCTCAATCCTATAGAACATTTGTGGGCAGAACTGAAAAAGCGTGTGCGAGCAAGGAGGCCTACAAACCTGACTCAGTTACACCAGCTCTGTCAGCAGGAATGGGACAAAATTCACCCAACTTATTGTGGGAAGCTTGTGGAAGACTACCCGAAATGTTTGACCCAAGTTAAGCAATTTAAAGGCAATGCTACCAAATACTAATTGAGTGTATGTAAACTTCTGACCCACTGGGAATGTGATGAAAGAAATAAAAGCTGAAATAAATAATTCTCTCTACTATTATTCTGACATTTCACATTCTTGAAATAAAGTGGTGATCCTAACTGACCTAAGACAGGGAATTTTTACTAGGATTAAATGTCAGGAATTGTGAAAAACTGAGTTTAAATGTATTTGGCTAAGGTGTATGCAAACTTCCGACTTCAACTGTAAATGCTATCTATATGCACTCCTGAAATACACCACCTTTGTGACATAATCAATCATTGAGATTGATGCATGCGTCAAACCAAGGATGTTGACAAAGAATTATGAAAGTAAATAGCTGCAATGTGTTCTTGGTTTTGAGAAGTGTTTCAGTTCTCTTTGTTCTGTGATGTAAATGCCCCCCTTTGTTAGTTCAGCCTTGTAGGCCTACTCATGGAAAGAGTTTGAAACATTTTCACTCTACCTTGGTTGGGACGGAGCTTCTGTTCTTTCAATTCGGTCTGTATCTTGGAGGATGGAATGCCGGTGTATCTCATGGCCTGAACGTTGACATGGATCACTAGTGTCCGAGTCTCACGGTCGTCGCTGTTCAGTACAAGCTTGAGGTCGATGTCTTTGCCGCTGAGCGGCTTGGTCAGCTCCACGATTTTCATGGAAACATCAGAAGGTTTGCGGTCAAGGATCCCGTTTGAATTCTCTTTGTCTTCGAGATTGTTGACTCTGTTCGCTGCGTTATTGTACACAGTCCTCTCCTTTTTCGTGCCTGTTTTAAATGGGTGACATTTTGGATGAGTAGCTGGTGACTCAAGCAGTTGCCCTCACTCACCTAGGAGAATTATGTCTTGCGACAGGTGGACACAGCCCCTTTCTAACTCATCTCTTAAAAAAGTACAGAACTATTTCCCAGACCAACCCTAGCTCTCAAAGACATAAAATACGCTTCTACCCTTATGATAGGCATAACCCTTGTAACGCTGCATTATTTCGGAAATCAATTGATAACAGTTCAACAGCCAAAATGTATAAAAGGGTGGAGATTGGACAGCCTTAGCGTTACTCCATACAGAACTGGTCCTAAAAAGCTAGTGGCTGACTTTTGACATTTAACCTCCAGGACGTTTTTTAAAGAAAACATCTGACAAGTCAACCTTTGTAGATATAGTCAGACTCTCTCAGTTCATTCAATACCAACCCTCTGCATATTTATAGTTGGCCGTGATGTCCACTCTCTTGTCGCTGCCCACTGCCTTTGTGCTGATGTTCTGGCCTACGGACCCAGTGTCCGTTAAGATCTTTTTCTTGGAGCCGTCAGCGAACACCATCCAGGTTACACGGTCGGCGTTGACTTCGGCGAAGACAAAGGGCACATCGTATTTGAGGTCAATGTGACCCTGCAGTATGGCCTTGACTGGAGCAGGGCCGCAGCAGTAAACACCTGGGGGAGAGGAAGGGAAAACAACATGAGTGTATAACAGGGAGTTCCCTTCATGTCTCCCAGACCCAGGACACAAACTCAGCACCATCTGCACAATAACACAACATACAATACATACATACTCCAGAAGTGTGTTATTATGTATGTTAGTGTGAGATGAGATGGAAGTTAGACCATACCAGTGCTTTTCTCCTGAGGGGTAGGGTCCACAGCCTGCCAGCCGTCATATAAGGAGTCTCCTGAGAGATCGGGCCGTCTCATCCAGGCCTCCACCCACACATGGTAGTTCCTGAGCAGAAACACCAGTCTTTAAAACATCATGCTATTGGCATCACTCTTCATACTGTAGCCACAATGACCTGATGTTGCATTTACCATACACTGTCTTGGCTCTGTTTGGGTCTGACTCCATTGTCGGAGAAGAAGTCGTCAATTGTCAGGTTTTTGTCGGTGTCGTGGGCTGACTGGAAGTTGGTAACCACTCGACATGGGATTCCCAAACACCTCAGTACTGACATGGAAATACATTTCAGGCATACTGGTTAACAAAAACAACACATAGAAGGCATAGTGGTTAACTAAATAAAGACATCCAAAGGATACTGGTTAACTAAATAAAGACATCCAAAGGATACTGGTTAACTAAATAAAGACATCCAAAGAATACTGGTTAACTAAATAAAGACATCCAAGGCATTGACACCCAGCCTCTCTCCTCTGGTCAGAGGTGAATCGGACACAGATGGTGGGTATTCTTGCCATCCCTATCAAAACCAATCACAACCCTGGGTCTGAGCGCTTGCAGTACAGTCAGCGCTATTTAAATACTGTTGTATTGATTGATTGACTAAAATAAGAATTTAAGAGCGATTGGACAGTGATAGGCTACCTGTGCACATTACAGCGGCGAACACCCAACACTGGCCATACTTGACTGGATTGCCTCCATTGTTGAGCCACCTCCTTAGTACCTCCACACTGCCGTTCCAGTGAGTGGGGGACACGCCACCATTGTATTGACCATCCCACCGCCCCAACAGGACACCTCTGTCATCATTAGCGTTGATCTGGGCAAGGAAAATAATGTTAAAATTATAAATTTCAGAACTGTCATTTGGCTGAGTGAATGTGTTTTTGTAATATCTCAAATGTAGTTGGTTTCGTGGATCTGGATTGAGCCTTGGACTAAAAAGCTCAGTGTGGAAAGTTATTTTTAGTCCAGGACTAGGTTTAATCTGGGTCCGGGAAACCAGTCCTATATGTGCAACAACACCTTACTTAGTTGCACTGGACCCATTTATAGTGAACAGGGCTAGATGACGTTCCAGAAATGAACCAATGTATTTTCTTATGCTGTTCATACAGTACTATGACCTTATGATGATTAAAGAATGTCACTGTTACTAGTGGGGTTCAATAATGTTGTCACTGTTACTAGTGGGGTTCAATAATGTTGTCACTGTTACTAGTGGGGTTCAATAATGTTGTCACTGTTACTAGTGGGGTTCAATAATGTTGTCACTGTTACTAGTGGGGTTCAATAACGTTGTCACTGTTACTAGTGGGGTTCAATAACGTTGTCACTGTTACTAGTGGGGTTCAATAATGTTATCACTGTTACTAGTGGGGTTCAATAATGTTGTCAGTGTTACTAGTGGGGTTCAATAATGTTGTCAGTGTTACTAGTGGGGTTCAATAATGTTGTCACTGTTACTAGTGGGGTTCAATAATGTTGTCACTGTTACTAGTGGGGTTCAATAATGTTGTCACTGTTACTAGTGGGGTTCAATAATGTTGTCACTGTTACTAGTGGGGTTCAATAATGTTGTCACTGTTACTAGTGGGGTTCAATAACGTTGTCACTGTTACTAGTGGGGTTCAATAATGTTGTCACTGTTACTAGTGGGGTTCAATAACGTTGTCACTGTTACTAGTGGGGTTCAATAATGTTGTCACTGTTACTAGTGGGGTTCAATAATGTTGTCACTGTTACTAGTGGGGTTCAATAACGTTGTCACTGTTACTAGTGGGGTTCAATAATGTTGTCACTGTTACTAGTGGGGTTCAATAACGTTGTCACTGTTACTAGTGGGGTTCAATAATGTTATCACTGTTACTAGTGGGGTTCAATAACGTTGTCACTGTTACTAGTGGGGTTCAATAATGTTGTCACTAGCTAGAATTTCCATCCAATTGGTGACAGATTTTCATGCGAATATTCAAAAATCTGCATAAAAACAATATGTGCATTTTCCCACCAGAGATGTGTTTCCATTAAATGACTTTTTTTTTTTTTTTTTCCGGATAAAAGGCTGTGGGGTGATGACATAGTGGACATAAAAATACCTTTTGCGGTTAAATTCTTTATGTAGCGAATGTTCCCACTCTGGTATTGGCACAGCTCGCAGATACATTGCGGGTATACGGTGCATTCGGAAAGTATTCAGACCCAATTACTTTTTCCACATTTTGTTAAGTTACAGCCTTATTCTAAAATGGATTAAATAAATAAAAATCTTAATCAATCTACACACAATACCCCATAATGACGAAGTGAAAACAGGGTTTTAGATTTTTTTTGCAAATGTATTACAAATAAAAAACAGAAATACCTTATTTACATAAGTATTCAGACCCTTAGCTATGAGACTTGAAATTGAGCTCAGATGCATCCTGTTTCCATTGATGATCCTTGAGATGTTTATACAACTTGACGGGAGTCCACCTGTGGTAAATTCGATTGATTGGACATGATTTGGAAAGGCACACACCTGTCTATATAAGGTCCCACAGTTGACAGTGCATGTCAGAGCAAAAACCAAGCCATGAGGTTGAAGGAATTGTCCATAGAGCTCCAAGACAGGATTGTGTCAAGGCACAGATTTGGGGAAAGGTAACAAAAAATGTCTGCAGCATTGAAGGTCCCCAAGATCACAGTGGCCTCCATAATTCTTAAATGGAAGTAGTTTGGAACCACCAAGACTCTTCCTAGAGCTGGTCGCCCGGCCAAACTTAGCAATCGGGGGAGAAGGGCCTTGGTCAGGGAGGTGACCGAGAACCTGATGGTCACTCTGACAGAGCTCCAGAGTTCCTCTGTGGAGATGTGAGAACCTTCCAGAAGGACAACCATGTCTGCAGCACTCCACCAATCAGGCCTTTATGGTAGAGTGGCCAGACGGAAGCCCGTCCTCAGTAAAAGGCACATGACAGCCCGCTTGGAGTTTGCCAAAAGGCACCAAAATGACTCTCAGACCATGAGAAACAAGATTCTCTGGTCTGATGAAACCAAGATTGAATTCTTTGGCCTGAATGCCAAGCGTCACGTCTGGAGGAAACCTGGCATGGTGGTGGCAGCATCATGCTGTGGGAATGTTTTTCAGCGGCAGGGACTAGGAGACTAGTCAGGATCGAGGGAATGATGAAAGGAGCAAAGTACATAGAAGATCCTTGATGAAAACCTGCTCCAGAGCGCTCAGGACCTCAGACTGGGGCAAAGGTTCTCTGGAGAGACCTGAAAATAGCTGAGGAGCGACACTCCCCATCCAATCTGACAGAGCTTGAGAGGATCTGCAGAGAAGAATGGGAGAAACTCGCCTAATACAGGTGTGCCAAGCTTGTAGCATCATACGCAAGAAGACTCCAGGCTGTAATCGCTGCCAAAGGTGCTTTAACAAAGTACTGAGTAAAGGGTCTGAATATTTATGTAAATGTGATATTTCCGTTTTTTTTTTTTATATATACATTTGCTAAATTTCTAAAAACGTGTTTTTGCTTTGTCATTATGGGGTATTGTGTGTAGATTGATAAGGGGAAAAACTATTTAATCAATTTTAGAATAAGGCTGTAATGTAACAAAATGTGGAAAAAAGTCCAGGGGTCTGAACTTTCCGAATGCACTTTAGCCTACATGATGAGATTATTTTTTATTTGTCAAACGAGGACAGCCAAGCATCGAGGATCATGTTACCAGAATAAGGCCCTCGATATTTATTATAAAGAAATATCAAGCTTATCACCTTGCACATTCAGCACCCTGTGAAGTTCATCATTCATTTCTTCATCTGTAGCCTAATAAACTGCATGCTTTCCCGATGAGTCGTAGTGGGAGGACCACACAACATGTCATTACGTGACTCCATGTTTACTTCGAAATGATGGTTATTAAATCAATATTTGCGCATAAAAGCATTTCCACCAACATTTCTCTCATACTTCATTTTACCGACACCAAAAAGATCCCACCTTGTCTAGTGTATTTTGTTTTGTCAACATTTGGAAAGTTTACCGAAAACATTTTCCATCAGCACTGTCATGAAATGTTTTATCTGACATGTACTTTACTCGCATAACAAGATTGGATGGAAACATGTTTCCTGTTACTAGTGGGGTTCAATAATGTTGTCGCTGTTACTAGTGGGGGTCAGATCTCCAGTCTTACCATGGCACTGACCACCCTACTGACATAGATGGGGTTGCAACGAGCAGAGAAGTCCTTGGCGGGGTCTCTCAGACACTTGGGGTTCACGTCAAGCAGCTTCAGGCAAATGTCCACTATATCGTCTTCAAACTGGAGAAACAATACATTTGGGCACGTTAGCTAGGTAGCCTACAACAATTTCTAAAATGTCTTGTCTATACTTACATACATTTTAGTAATTTAGCAGACGCTCTTATCCAGAGCGATTTACAGTATTGAATGGATAAATGTTCGTATTGGTCTCCCGCGGTAATCGAAACCCACAACCCTGGCGTTGCAAGCGCCATGCTTTACCAACGGAGCCACACAGGACTCTAGCCAATCACTTCGACTGATATATCGTTGTGTAACACTTGGGGGCGGTTTCCCGGGCAACAGATTAGTCCTGGATTTATCTAGAGTCAAAATAATTATTGGTGGAGATTCTCCATTGAGTTTGCTTTTTAGTCGAGGAATAGGCTTAATCTGTATCCAGGAAACCAGCCCTATATGTTATAAGCAGCACTTTTCAACTGTACAATACTGTATTGTTTGTTCTGTGTACCTGTCCGAAGTCCCACGCCAGGGAGCTGATGTATTTTTCAGAACCTCTGTACACCAGGCCTTGTTCTCTCATCACATACTCCTGCCTCTCCTCCTCTTCAGGTAGATGCACCCAGTCCTCTACAGCCCGCCACAAAATACAGCAGTTTCAAAACATGAATTTAAAATTTTTGTTCAACTGACTTGGCTGGTTAAATAAATGATAAATAAAAAATACATTATTATACAAAATGAAATGAAGGGGTAACTTAACATGTTATCATGCTGTTACTGTGTTATGACGTCTCCCATGCTAGAATGTGGTGTTACCAGGATGTTACCAAGCTGTGTTACCAGGCTGTTTACCAGGATGTTATTAGTGTACCAGGATTACAGGATGTTACCAGGCTGTGTTACCAGATGTACCAGGATGTTACCAGGATGTTATTAGGCTGTTACAGGATCTACCAGGCTGTGTTACTAGGCTGTGTTACCAGATGTACCAGGATGTTACAGGCTGTGTTACCAAGATGTACCAGGATGTTCCAGGCTGTGTTAACAGGATGGTACCAGGATGTTACCAGGCGTGTTACCTTATGGCTGAACCAGGCTGTGTTACTAGGCTGTGTTACCAGGATGTTACAAGCTTGTTTACCGGGCTTGTTACTACAGGCTTGTTACCAGGATGGTACCAGGAGCGTGTTACCAGGCTGTCTTGTATCCAAGGGTCCCAGGATTTTCCGGGTTTTTTAAAAAGGAAAAAATTGGAACCGGGTTTCCCCCCCCCGTTTAAAAAGGTTTCCCAGGTGTAACCAAAAGGGTTTTGTTTTTTTTGGGGTCCGGATTTTTTCCCGCGTTTTTGGTTGTTTTTTTTGCCCCCGGGCTGGTTACCTTTGGTCCTTTTTCACCACTTTTTACCGGGTTGTTTATACCCTGTTACCAAAAGGGTCTTAAGGGGGGGTTTTAAGGGGGGTTTTATGGGGGTGTTCCGGTGTTTCCAAAAAGGGAAAAGGGGGGGGAAAAAAAAAAGGAAAGAAAACCAAGCTTTGGGCCCCAGGGGGGGCGGGAAAGGGGGCAAAGGTTCCAAACCCAATAAAAGGGTTTTAAAAAACCCCAAAAAGGGAGAAAGGGGAAAACCTGGAAAAGGGGCCCAGGGGGGGGTTTAAACTGATAAGAAAAGGGGGAATAAAATTTTACATTTTTCCGTTTTAACGGGGTTTATCAAAGTTACCATGGCTGTATTGATGCATTCACCGCATTTGTTCTCCTTCGTGTGATTAAAATAGTTAATTTATCACAGTTCTAGTTAACATTTTTATGAATTCGTTATACTCCATTATAATGTATTAAATCTGCTTTACCGTACTCTCAAATCTCGTTCACAGGAAGTGTACAGATGTAAGATGTAATAAAGTTGTTTTGAATTGAATTGTGTTTACCTTGGCACCAGGGGTTAAACAGCAGAAGGAGCTTGCCCAGGCTTCTGCCCACTGTGGCGTTGGCGTTGGTCTTTACAGACAGGCTGTACTCTCCCACTGGGGCATCTGCTGGGCTGGTGATGTCCAGAGTGATTGAGCCCTCCAGGAGCACTGAGTCCGGGTGAACCTCAACCTTCCAGGAGGAACCCTTCCCACGGCCCTCAGGTATCCCGAACACTGACCTGGTCCCCAACGCCTCAGATGGCTGGGGCCCTGGATGGAGAAGGGAGGATGAGTTTTGGGTTGTGTTCAGTAGGAACGAAATGGAAGAAAACGTTCAGAAACAGTGAGGTAGTATACACAGTGTACAAAACATTAGGAACACCTTCCTAATATTGAGTTGTCCCCTTTCGCCTTCAGAAAAGACTCAATTCGTCGGGGCATGTACTCTACATGGTGTCGAAAGTGTTCCTCACGGATGCTGGTCCATGTTAACCCCAATGCTTGTCAAGTTGGCTGAATGTCCTTTGAATGTCCTTTGGGTGATACACACGGGAAACTGTTGAGCATGAAAAACCCAGGAGCATTGCAGTTCTTGACACACTCAAACCAGTGCGCCTGGGTACTTAAATCTATTGTCTTGCCCATTCACCCTCTGAATGGCACACATACACAATCCATGTCTCAGCTGTCTCAAGGCTTAAAAATCCTTCTTTAACCTGTCTCCTCCCTTATTGAAGTGGATTCAATAAGGGATCATAGCTTTCACCTGGATTCACCTGGTCAGGTCAGTCTATGTCATGGAAAGAGCAGGTGTTCCTAATGTTTTGTACACTCAGTGTATTTGTCCAATAAGAGTTTATATTTTCTGTCAGAGTAACTTTGATGTCAACATTACATGTACAGTACAAGTGGAGGTATCTCAAGTCCTGTAAGTGGTGCAATTTAGTCTTTAGATTAGATTGAATTGACCCCAATTCAGCTATTTACAACGCATACAAGGATTTGTTTTAATGTAATTATTACTGCACGTGTCTGTCTTGTCAAAGGGGATCCACATAGGGCCGGTTTCCCTGCCCTAGCCTAGATTAATCCTAGTGTGTTTTAGTCCAGGACTAGCATAATCTGAGTCCGGGAAACCTCTAATACAAACAGCTCTAATAAATAGCAGAGATAAATAAAGTGATTCTATGTTCTATTCTAGATAGCTCACCTGTCTCCACCATCAGCTCCAGCATGTCTGTTGTGGGCCTGAAGGGGCCATGGAGGTCAAAGGTGACCAGGAAGGACTGACCTCTCCTGACTATCAGTCTGTTCACTGAGATGTCATTGGTGTTGTGGGCTGTGTTGTTCTTCTCACAGTGGAGCTCTACCTTACCAATGTCTTCAAGAAATAAAGAAATAAAGAAATAAATCCTGATTTTCTATTTTGTCCTGATAAAACAATGATTATTATTATTTTATTAGTGTGAGGCGTCAGTCTGTTTCTACGTTTGCTGTTGTCTAGCCTTATGTTTTGTCATTTTTGCCTGACAGCAACATAGCAGAAACAGACTGTCAGTTGGGCTAGTTGAGACCACTGGATAGAGAAAACACTTGTAGCCTATCACCATGCATAATGCAGAAAGAATATGCAGAGAGAAACAGGCCAAAGACCACAGACTTAGGAATTAGAATATCAATAATATTAATTTAACAGATGAACATACACCAACAATAATTATCTTTCTTTGTAAGCAAATGTTACATTCTACAAGTCAAGTCACCCAATTACCCATTCACTGTACTATATGACCCTCTGTCACTAAACATGACATAGGGTACCTTGACAAGGCAATATCTACATTTTTCATCATCTGAATTTGATAAAAAATCTTGCAACGAGAAGTTTCAGTTGACTTACCAAAATCCATTGAAGCTGTCTCTCACGTGGTTGTGTTGGTAAGTGGATCGAGTTGCTTGTTGTAGTTCTGTAAGTAATGAAAGGATGCCAGGCCTTTTAAAAGGAGCCCTACCCATGTCATAAGAATGGGTAGGGCTCCTTTTCTTAATTCACAGGAAAATGTGTCATTACATAGTCATCACCACATCAGCATCTAAATTAAACCAGAAATGTGTGTTTATGTGTAGTATTGAGATTGAACCGCTATAGGTAGAACTCTCTTTATGGTTTGAGTTTTATTACATTGTTCAATGTGTTTTTCTGTCAAAACATGAATTAGTACTTGGTGGCAAAACCCTTGTTGGCAATCACAGAGGTCAGACGTTTCTTGTAGTTCGCCACCAGGTTTGCACACATCTCAGGAGGGATTTTGTCCCACTCCTCTTTGCAGATCTTATCCAAGTCATTAAGGTTTCGAGGCTGACGTTTGGCAACTCGACCATTCAGCTCCCTCCACAGCTTTTCTATGAGATTAAGGTCTGGAGACTGGCTAGGCCACTCCAGGACCTTAATGTGCTTCTTCTTGAGCCACTCCTTTGTTGCCTTGGCCGTGTGTTTTGGGTCATTGTCATGCTGGAATACCCATCCACAACCCATTTCAATGCCCTGGCTGAGGGAAGGAGGTTCTCACCCAAGATTGGAAGGTACATGGCCCCATCCATCGTCCCTTTGATGCAGTGAAATTGTCCTGTCCCCTTAGCAGAAAAACACCCCCAAAGCATAATGTTTCCACCTCCATGTTTGATGGTGGGGATGGTGTTCTTGGGGTCATAGGCAGCATTCCTCCTCCTCCAAACACGGCGAGTTGAGTTGATGCCAAAGAGCTCGATTTTGGTCTCATCTGACCACAACACTTTCACCCAGTTCTCCTCTGAATCATTCAGATGTTCATTGGCAAACTTCAGACAGCCCTGTATACAGTGGGGGAAAAAGTATTTAGTCAGCCACCAATTGTGCAAGTTCTCCCACTTAAAAAGATGAGAGAGGCCTGTAATTTTCATCATAGGTACACGTCAACTATGACAGACAAAATGAGAAAAAAAAATCCAGAAAATCACATTGTAGGATTTTTTATGAATTTATTTGCAAATTATGGTGGAAAATAAGTATTTGGTCACCTACAAACAAGCAAGATTTCTGGCTCTCACAGACCTGTAACTTCTTCTTTAAGAGGCTCCTCTGTCCTCCACTCGTTACCTGTATTAATGGCACCTGTTTGAACTTGTTATCAGTATAAAAGACACCTGTCCACAACCTCAAACAGTCACACTCCAAACTCCACTATGGCCAAGACCAAAGAGCTGTCAAAGGACACCAGAAACAAAATTGTAGACCTGCACCAGGCTGGGAAGACTGAATCTGCAATAGGTAAGCAGCTTGGTTTGAAGAAATCAACTGTGGGAGCAATTATTAGGAAATGGAAGACATACAAGACCACTGATAATCTCCCTCGATCTGGGGCTCCACGCAAGATCTCACCCCGTGGGGTCAAAATGATCACAAGAACGGTGAGCAAAAATCCCAGAACCACACGGGGGGACCTAGTGAATGACCTGCAGAGAGCTGGGACCAAAGTAACAAAGCCTACCATCAGTAACACACTACGCCGCCAGGGACTCAAATCCTGCAGTGCAAGACGTCTCCCCCTGCTTAAGCCAGTACATGTCCAGGTCCGTCTGAAGTTTGCTAGAGTGCATTTGGATGATCCAGAAGAGGATTGGGAGAATGTCATATGGTCAGATGAAACCAAAATAGAACTTTTTGGTAAAAACTCAACTCGTCGTGTTTGGAGGACAAAGAATGATGAGTTGCATCCAAAGAACACCATACCTACTGTGAAGCATGGGGGTGGAAACATCATGCTTTGGGGCTGTTTTTCTGCAAAGGGACCAGGACGACTGATCCGTGTAAAGGAAAGAATGAATGGGGCCATGTATCGTGAGATTTTGAGTGAAAACCTCCTTCCATCAGCAAGGGCATTGAAGATGAAACGTGGCTGGGTCTTTCAGCATGACAATGATCCCAAACACACCGCCCGGGCAACGAAGGAGTGGCTTCGTAAGAAGCATTTCAAGGTCCTGGAGTGGCCTAGCCAGTCTCCAGATCTCAACCCCATAGAAAATCTTTGGAGGGAGTTGAAAGTCCGTGTTGCCCAGCGACAGCCCCAAAACATCACTGCTCTAGAGGAGATCTGCATGGAGGAATGGGCCAAAATACCAGCAACAGTGTGTGAAAACCTTGTGAAGACTTACAGAAAACGTTTGACCTGTGTCATTGCCAACAAAGGGTATATAACAAAGTATTGAGAAACTTTTGTTATTGACCAAATACTTATTTTCCACCATAATTTGCAAATAAATTCATAAAAAATCCTACAATGTGATTTTCTGGATTTTTTTTTCTCATTTTGTCTGTCATAGTTGACGTGTACCTATGATGAAAATTACAGGCCTCTCTCATCTTTTTAAGTGGGTCTGGTCAGACAATGTCACACCCTGGCTCTGGGGACTCTATATGTTGAGCCAGGGTGTGTAGATTCTATGTGTTTTTGTTCTATGGTCACAGTCTAGTATTTGTATTTCTATGTTGGCCAGAGTGGTTCCCAATCAGAGACAACGAGTGTCAGCTGTTGCTGGTTGTCTCTGATTGGGAGCCATATTTAGACAGGCTGTGTTCCCACAGGTGTTGTGGGATCTTGTTCCAGTTGGTTTTGTGTTTGTACCGTGGACTTCACGTATCGTTTGTTGTTTTGTTTATTGTGTGTGCACTTAATTAAATAAGATGTACAAATCTCACGCTGCGCCTTGGTCCACTCACTCTAACGATCGTGACAGAAGATCCCACCATACCAGGACCAAGCAGCGTGTCCAGGAGCAGGCAGCCTGGACATGGGAGGAAGCGCCGGGTAAGGAGCTGGAGAGATTGGCGATGGCCCAGGTGGGCCAATTGTGGTCCTGGGAGGACATGCTCGGGGGAAAAGGGCCATGGGCTAAGGTTAAGGCCCTGGCGAGAGAGGAGCAACGGCGTCAACCGGGCCGTGGTCAGACAGGCGAGAGGCACCCCCAATAATTTTTTAGGGGGGGGCACACGGCATGGGCGACTGGGCAGCAGGAGGCTGCCACAGGGCGAAATGGGAGATTAGGAGAGGAGGCCACCGGGTTTGGGGGGCCAGAAGGCAGGTTGGCGGAGCCTGGATGGAGAGCAGAGCCAACTCCCCGTACTCAGGCATGGCAGCATGAGACTGGGCAGGTTCCGGGGTATGCGGAGCTGCGTACTGTGCCACGAGTGGTCCGGCATAGTCCGGTACGTCCTGTGCGAGCACCCCGCACGTATCGTGCGAAGGTGGGCATGCAGCCAGGACGGAGTGTGCCGGCTCAGCGCTCGTGGCCTCCAGTGCCTCTCCTCGGTCCCGGATATCCTGCGCCAGTGTCACGTGCTGTTATGCCAGTACGGGTACACAGCCCTGTACGTCCTGTGCTGATGCCTCACACAGAGTGTGTGAAGGTAGGCATTCAGCCAGGACGGGTTGTGGCAGCTCTTCACTCCAGGCCTCCTATCCGTCTCCACAGCCCGGCCCGGCCTGTTCCTGTTCCTCGCACCAAGCCTCCGGTGCGCATCGCCAGCCCAGCCCGGCCTGTTCCTGCCACTCGCACCAAGCCTACGGTGCGCGTCGCCAGCCCAGCCCGGCCTGTTCCTGCCACTCGCACCAAGCCTACGGTGCGCGTCGCCAGCCCGGCCCGGCCTGTTCCTACCACTCGCACCAAGCCAGGTGTGCGAGTCGTCAGCCCAGCCCGGCCTGTTCCTGCCACTCGCACCAAGCCTACGGTGTGCGTCGCCAGCCCGGCCCGGCCTGTTCCTGCCACTCGCACCAAGCCAGGGGTGCGCATCGTCAGCCCGGTCCGGCCCGTTGCGGCTCCACGCACCAAGCCAGGGGTGCGCATCGTCAGCCCGGTCCGGCCCGTTCCTGCTCCACGCACCAAGCTAGGGGTGCGCATCGTCAGCCCGGTACGGCCCGTTCCGGCTCCACGCACCAAGCCAGGGGTGCGCATCGTCAGCCCGGTCCGGCCCGTTGCTGCTCCACGCACCAAGCCAGGGGTGCGCATCGTCAGCCCGGTCCGGCCCGTTCCTGCTCCACGCACCAAGCCAGGGGTGCGCATCGTCAGCCCGGTCCGGCCCGTTCCTGCTCCACGCACCAAGCTAGGGGTGCGCATCGTCAGCCCGGTCCGGCCCGTTGCTGCTCCACGCACCAAGCCTGGGGTGCGCATCGTCAGCCCGGTCCGGCCAGTTCCTGCTCCACGCACCAAGCCAGGGGTGCGCGTCGTCAGTCCGGCAACAACCCGTGCCTGGGTCACCGGTGCCTGGTCAGGTACCGGTCAGCTGCTCCACACCGGAGCTTAAGCAATCCGCTCCTACGATGTCCAGTCCAGCTCCAGCCAGCGGGGCCAGACCGGACCAGGGGCACTACGGGGGGATTATTGGAGGGTGGTGGGCAAGCCCGGAGCCGGAACCGCCTCCGAGGAGGAATGCCCACCCAGCCCTCCCCTGTTTGGTTTATGTTGAGGCGCGGTCGCAGTCCGCGCCTTTAGGGGGGGGTACTGTCACACCCTGGCTCTGGGGACTCTATATGTTGAGCCAGGGTGTGTAGATTCTATGTGTTTTTGTTCTATGGTCACAGTCTAGTATTTGTATTTCTATGTTGGCCAGAGTGGTTCCCAATCAGAGGCAACGAGTGTCAGCTGTTGCTGGTTGTCTCTGATTGGGAGCCATATTTAGACAGGCTGTGTTCCCACAGGTGTTGTGGGATCTTGTTCCAGTTGGTTTTGTGTTTGTACCGTGGACTTCACGTATCGTTTGTTGTTTTGTTTATTGTGTGTGCACTTAATTAAATAAGATGTACAAATCTCATGCTGCGCCTTGGTCTACTCCCTTCGACGATCGTGACAGACAAGCACATCATTAGATAATTAGGCAAACTGGAAAACACCCTATAATCAAATGTTAACCATGATTGGCCTGTCACTACTAGCCTACTTTTGAGATTTATAAGGGCTGTGATTCTAACTTCATTAAAAATAAATGAATACATCTAAGAAATTAATCAACAACGACTTCCCATTTCTTATTAAAATATGTCAACAGTTAAACCAGCAAATGAGATCAAACATATTTATTTGACCTTTATCCAGTTAACATACTCTCTGGAAGTCTGTGGGAATCACAACCACTAATTCCATGAAGTTTTTTAGCTCTCTGATTCTCATATTGTGCTGGCAGTCGGGCACAACGAACATCTCTCCCGTTTCACGCAGCCTGCCACCAAGACTGAACTTGACTTTCTTCGACGGTCACGGTAAATTGCACTTTTGGGTCCCGGTACACTCTTCGAGTCGCTGTCGCGGTAAATCATCGCACTTTTGGGTCTCGGTACCTGAAGTGGAATCCTCTTCGTTGAGGTGTTAAAATATGCCATTGGATTGCTCATAGAAACGCGCCGAATCATTTTTGCATATTGCAAATGGTTTAGAATTGGAAAATAATGAATGATTTGGAATGCTGTGTCTGACTACTTACTGTTGCTAAGGTGATAATCGTTCGAGTCCTATTGTTGCGCTTTCGGTACATGTCCAACAATAACATAGCCACACAGTTGAACAAATCTAATGTTTCATGATCAACTGATGGTAGGTTTAGTTATATTGACTTGGAAATACCTGGTATATTATGGTAAGAAGGTAGGCTTATTTTTTAATGGACTTGCGACAGCAGTCCCACTTTAAATACTGTACAACTTATTTCTGACTTTTGAACGTGATTGGCTCAGCAGTCACAATTTAAACAGGCTATAGTCAGTGGTGTAGTGCTGATTTTTAGGTGAGGGAGCGCAACAGTTTTTGTTTTTATATGACGTCATCTGTTCCCAATCAAAGTTTGAACCGACCAGTGGGTTTGAGCCCCACCTGTTTAGCTAAAAAAACAAAAAGAAAATATCATAAGTTGAATGCACCAATTTGTAAGTCACTCTGGATAAGAGCGTCTGCTAAATGACGTAAATGTAAATGTTTAGATGTGCAGTAAGTACAGGCTAGCCACATTAAATCAAATAAGGAGGTGGATCTTTCAGCATGTCTAGTAAAGAAATGCAGTATTGCTATTACTATTTTTGTTGATGATGGTTCTTTTTTTATTATGATCAATATTGACCTGAGCCATAGAGAGTCTCTGTGTATGACTGCTGTAGACTGTTCTAGGTTTTTCTTTTATGCCACATCACCTTGAGTACATCCCCAGTAGCTGCAGCTATCACAAGCTCAGCCCATCCATCGTAAGGCCAGATCATCAGGGTGACAGTAGTTCCAGGGACGATGTTGTAGTGTCTGAGGGTATATGATTTTGCTGACGTTTGCAAAAAGTGTGTTAGAGGAACTTGGCTCTGTTTGCGGAAAAATCTGGAAAGCATTACTACACAGACTTCTTGGAATAGAGGATATGGGGAGATATGTGGAAAGCCAGGGATTGGTTTATTAAAATCACGCCATGTTATGTTACATAGGATATAAATACCATGTCTTGAACAAAGGACTGGGAGGAACAACATATTACAGATTGGGTCGTTGTTCTCCAGATATTCTGCAGATATCTGTAAATTGAAGCTGTAACCCTTGGATAAAATAAACCTTTATAATCAAAGTACAGTGTCAGCGGATCTTCTTATCATCACAGCATAATTAGCAGCATATTTTCAGACACAACAATGTCATTACAGTGAATAGTGGTGTCATCATATCGGTCACCTGTTGGGTGGAGTATACATTGGGTCTGGTCAGACAAGCACATCATTAGATAATTAGGCAAACTGGAAAACACCCTATAATCAAATGTTCACCATGATGGGATGTCACTACTAGCCTACTTTTGAGATTTATAAGGGCTGTGATTCTAACTTCATTAAACCCATTAAAAATAAATGAATACATCTAAGAAATTAATCAACAACGACTTCCCATTTCTTATTAAAATATGTCAACAGTTAAACCAGCAAATGAGATCAAACATATTTATTTGACCTTTATCCAGGTAGCATACTCTCTGGAAGTCTGTGGGAATCACAACCACTAATTCCATGGCGTTTTTTAGCTCTCTGATTCTCATATTGTGCTGGCAGTCGGGCACAACGAACATCTCTCCCGTTTCACACAGCCTGCCACCAAGACTGAACTTGACTTTCTTCGACGGTCACGGTAAATTGCACTTTTGGGTCTCGGTACACTCTTCGAGTCGCTGTCGCGGTAAATCATCGCACTTTTGGGTCTCGGTACCTGAAGTGGAATCCTCTTCGTTGAGGTGTTAAAATATGCCATTGGATTGCTCATAGAAACGCGCCGAATCATTTTTGCATATTGCAAATGGTTTAGAATTGGAAAATAATGAATGATTTGGAATGCTGTGTCTGACTACTTACTGTTGCTAAGGTGATAATCGTTCGAGTCCTATTGTTGCGCTTTCGGTACATGTTCAACAATAACATAGCCACACAGTTGAACAAATCTAATGTTTCATTATCAACTGATAGTAGGTTTAGTTATATTGACTTGGAAATACCTGGTATATTATGGTAAGAAGGTAGGCTTATTTTTTAATGGACTTGCGACAGCAGTCCCACTTTAAATACTGTACAACTTATTTCTGACTTTTGAACGTGATTGGCTCAGCAGTCACAATTTAAACAGGCTATAGTCAGTGGTGTAGTGCTGATTTTTAGGTGAGGGAGCGCAACAGTTTTTGTTTTTATATGACGTCATCTGTTCCCAATCAAAGTTTGAACCGACCAGTGGGTTTGAGCCCCACCTGTTTAGCTAAAAAAACAAAAAGAAAATATCATAAGTTGAATGCACCAATTTGTAAGTCACTCTGGATAAGAGCGTCTGCTAAATGACGTAAATGTAAATGTTTAGATGTGCAGTAAGTACAGGCTAGCCACATTAAATCAAATAAGGAGGTGGATCTTTCAGCATGTCTAGTAAAGAAATGCAGTATTGCTATTACTATTTTTGTTGATGATGGTTCTTTTTTTATTATGATCAATATTGACCTGAGCCATAGAGAGTCTCTGTGTATGACTGCTGTAGACTGTTCTAGGTTTTTCTTTTATGCCACATCACCTTGAGTACATCCCCAGTAGCTGCAGCTATCACAAGCTCAGCCCATCCATCGTAAGGCCAGATCATCAGGGTGACAGTAGTTCCAGGGACGATGTTGTAGTGTCTGAGGGTATATGATTTTGCTGACGTTTGCAAAAAGTGTGTTAGAGGAACTTGGCTCTGTTTGCGGAAACATCTGGAAAGCATTACTACATAGGCTTCTTGGAATAGAGGATATGGGGAGATATGTGGAAAGCCAGGGATTGGTTTATTAAAATCACGCCATGTTATGTTACATAGGATATAAATACCATGTCTTGAACAAAGGACTGGGAGGAACAACATATTACAGATTGGGTCGTTGTTCTCCAGATATTCTGCAGATATCTGTAAATTGAAGCTGTAACCCTTGGATAAAATAAACCTTTATAATCAAAGTACAGTGTCAGCGGATCTTCTTATCATCACAGCATAATTAGCAGCATATTTTCAGACACAACAATGTCATTACAGTGAATAGTGGTGTCATCATATAGGTCACCTGTTGGGTGGAGTATACATTGGGTCTGGTCAGACAAGCACATCATTAGATAATTAGGCAAACTGGAAAACACCCTATAATCAAATGTTCACCATGATGGGATGTCACTACTAGCCTACTTTTGAGATTTATAAGGGCTGTGATTCTAACTTCATTAAACCCATTAAAAATAAATGAATACATCTAAGAAATTAATCAACAACGACTTCCCATTTCTTATTAAAATATGTCAACAGTTAAACCAGCAAATGAGATCAAACATATTTATTTTACCTTTATCCAGGTAGCATACTCTCTGGAAGTCTGTGGGAATCACAACCACTAATTCCATGGCGTTTTTTAGCTCTCTGATTCTCATATTGTGCTGGCAGTCGGGCACAACGAACATCTCTCCAGTTTCACGCAGCCTGGCACCAAGACTGAACTTGACTTTCTTCGACGGTCACGGTAAATTGCACTTTTGGGTCTCGGTACACTCTTCGAGTCGCTGTCGCGGTAAATCATCGCACTTTTGGGTCTCTGTACCTGAAGTGGAATCCTCTTCGTTGAGGTGTTAAAATATGCCATTGGATTGCTCATAGAAACGCGCCGAATCATTTTTGCATATTGCAAATGGTTTAGAATTGGAAAATAATGAATGATTTGGAATGCTGTGTCTGACTACTTACTGTTGCTAAGGTGATAATCGTTCGAGTCCTATTGTTGCGCTTTCGGTACATGTCCAACAATAACATAGCCACACAGTTGAACAAATCTAATGTTTCATGATCAACTGATAGTAGGTTTAGTTATATTGACTTGGAAATACCTGGTATATTATGGTAAGAAGGTAGGCTTATTTTTTAATGGACTTGCGACAGCAGTCCCACTTTAAATACTATACAACTTATTTCTGACTTTTGAACGTGATTGGCTCAGCAGTCACAATTTAAACAGGCTATAGTCAGTGGTGTAGTGCTGATTTTTAGGTGAGGGAGCGCAACAGTTTTTGTTTTTATATGACGTCATCTGTTCCCAATCAAAGTTTGAACCGACCAGTGGTTTTGAGCCCCACCTGTTTAGCTAAAAAAACAAAAAGAAAATAATATATATATATATATATATATATATACAGTGGGGAAAAAAAGTATTTAGTCAGCCACCAATTGTGCAAGTTCTCCCACTTAAAAAGATGAGAGAGGCCTGTAATTTTCATCATAGGTACACGTCAACTATGACAGACAAAATGAGAAAAAAAAATCCAGAAAATCACATTGTAGGATTTTTAATGAATTTATTGGCATATGATGGTGGAAAATAAGTATTTGGTCAATAACAAAAGTTTCTCAATACTTTGTTATATACCCTTTGTTGGCAATGACACAGGTCAAACGTTTTCTGTAAGTCTTCAAAAGGTTTTCACACACTGTTGCTGGTATTTTGGCCCATTCCTCCATGCAGATCTCCTCTAGAGCAGTGATGTTTTGGGGCTGTCGCTGGGCAACACAGACTTTCAACTCCCTCCAAAGATTTTCTATGGGGTTGAGATCTGGAGACTGGCTAGGCCACTCCAGGACCTTGAAATGCTTCTTACGAAGCCACTCCTTCGTTGCCCGGGCGGTGTGTTTGGGATCATTGTCATGCTGAAAGACCCAGCCACGTTTCATCTTCAATGCCCTTGCTGATGGAAGGAGGGTTTCACTCAAAATCTCACGATACATGGCCCCATTCATTCTTTCCTTTACACGGATCAGTCGTCCTGGTCCCTTTGCAGAAAAACAGCCCCAAAGCATGATGTTTCCAACCCCATGCTTCACAGTAGGTATGGTGTTCTTTGGATGCAACTCAGCATTCTTTGTCCTCCAAACATGACGAGTTGAGTTTTTACCAAAAAGTTATATTTTGGTTTCATCTGACCATATGACATTCTCCCAATCCTCTTCTGGATCATCCAAATGCACTTCAGACGGGCCTGGACATGTACTGGCTTAAGCAGGGGGACACGTCTCGCACTGCAGGATTTGAGTCCCTGGCGGCGTAGTGTGTTACTGATGGTAGGCTTTGTTACTTTGGTCCCAGCTCTCTGCAGGTCATTCACTAGGTCCCCCCGTGTGGTTCTGGGATTTTTGCTCACCGTTCTTGTGATCATTTTGACCCCACGGGGTGAGATCTTGCGTGGAGCCCCAGATCGAGGGAGATTATCAGTGGTCTTGTATGTCTTCCATTTCCTAATAATTGCTCCCACAGTTGATTTCTTCAAACCAAGCTGCTTACCTATTGCAGATTCAGTCTTCCCAGCCTGGTGCAGGTCTACAATTTTGTTTTTGGTGTCCTTTGACAGCTCTTTGGTCTTGGCCATTGTGGAGTTTAGAGTGTGACTGTTTGAGGTTGTGGACAGGTGTCTTTTATACTGATAACAAGTTCAAACAGGTATCGTTAATACAGGTAACGAGTGGAGGACAGAGGAGCCTCTTAAAGAAGAAGTTACAGGTCTGTGAGAGCCAGAAATCTTGCTTGTTTGTAGGTGACCAAATACTTATTTTCCACCATAATTTGCAAATAAATTCATTAAAAATCCTACAATGGGATTTTCTGGATTTTTTTTCCTCAATTTGTCTGTCATAGTTGACGTGTACCTATGATGAAAATTACAGGCCTCTCTCATCTTTTTAAGTGGGAGAACTTGCACAATTGGTGGCTGACTAAATACTTTTTTCCCCCACTGTATATTGCATGTTATTTTGGCATTAATATGTGTCACATATCAGTTCGCAAACAATGTAAAAAAAGTAATCATATTGAGTTAATAAAGCTGCATACAAACATGGTCTCTTTTTTGCTTTCTTGAGTAAGGCAGCTCCAAAATGCAGGGGTTTCAGCCTAGCTCAGTGCTGCAGCTACCGACTGGAACGAGTTGCAAACAACACTCAAACTGGACAGTTTTATCTCCATCTCTTCATTCAAAGACACAATCATGGACACTCTTACTGACACTTGTGGCTGCTTCGCGTGATGTATTGTTGTCTCTACCTTCTTGCCCTATATGCTGTTGTCTGTGCCCAATAATGTTTGTACCATGTTTTGTGCTGCTACCATGTTGTGCTGCTGCCATGTTGTGTTGCTACCGTGTTGTTGTCATGTGTTGCTACCATGCTGTGTTGTCATGTGTTGCTGCCATGTTGTGTTGTTGTCTTAGGTCTCTCTTTATGTAGTTTTGTGGTGTCTCGTCGTGATGTGTTTTGTCCTATAGTTTTATTTTTAATCCCCCGTCTCCGCAGCATTTTGGTTGGCCGTCATTGTAAATAAGAATTTGTTCCTAACTGACTTGCCTAGTTAAATAAAGGTTAAATGATGTTTTTTTGTTTTTTATTCTGTGGTGGTGGGGCAGTCAGGGGAAAATACAGAGCGTAGGGGTTGGTAATGTTGCTCCGTGATTGGCTCAGTGTTCTGTCACTCATGGGGACACTATGTCACCGCAAAATCTACAGGGAGAGCTAGAAAGTTCAAGCCCCTTTGGGTACTGCCATAGATTTACAGTAGCAGTGCCCATCCAAGAAGGCTCAAGGTCATTGGCCACAGATAAAATGACGTCAAATCACGTGTTATCTACCGTAGCTTTGATTGGACTGATCATGTCAACATCATACTTCTTAGCTAGCAAGCTAGACAAGCAGTCATCATCATGAATCACGTTGACAATCTACTGGTAAATCCTTTTCAATCCTTGTCATATGAAGAGAAATTTGAGATAAAACGTCTCGGTGCTCATCGGCCATGGACATAAACATTACACAAAAAGTCAGAAATCGCAAATTCAACAAAGAGTGGTTCGGAAGGAAGCAGTGGCTAACTGCAAGCGTCTCAAAACAATCACTATTTTGCTTCCCCTGCCTGCTATACGGTGGAGAGGGTGTGTGGTCCAAGTCTGGGTTTAAGGATTTAAAACATGTCTGAAAGGGTCTCAAAACATGTGAATTGTGCATCACATATAGACAATGCTGTTAAACTGGGATTACTGGGGAAATCAAACATTTTGGCTCAGCTAGACACCGCATATAGACAAGCCATCGACCTTCACAACCAACAGACGGAGGAGAATAGGTACATGCTTGCCAGAATTATAGCATGCATTAAATTGTGTGGCAATTGTGAGACAGCACTGCAGGAAAAGCAGCCAACAACTGTTCTGACTTGGTGGTGCACATGTAGCCTATAGCCTGTTTTAGAGAAATGTCATCATCGAAGATTATAAGATCTTTCATTGTCTGCTCATGTGCCCACGTTATTTATCCTATGGTTCAGACTTGGTGTACTGGCAGAATACTGTAAGAACGGCCCACGTTCTGAATTATGTCGCTGTCCATTTCAAAAGTGCTGAACAAATAGGCGGCGTATAGGCTACATCCGTCTCAGCTCGCTACATCCGTCTCAGCTCGCTACATCCGTCTCAGCTCGCTACATCCGTCTCAGCTCGCTACATCCGTCTCAGCTCGCTACATCCGTCTCAGCTCACTCATGTCTTAATCCAAATGACGGTTTGTCTCTTAACAACTTATCATTATTTATGCCATAGTTTGTACGTTTGTATAGGTCTATGTCATTAGTAAGCTATTCATTATTTTAGGCAACGTTAGAATTATGCATTTAATTGTTTTGCTTACTTTGTGTGTTATAATTAGCTCAGGTGCTTTTCTCCACGAGGAGGGGATACTATAATGTAATGTTGTTGGGTCTGTAAGTTACAGACCCAACAACATTATATTATAGTATCCCCTCCTTGTAACCATGGTTACCAGTGACAGTCTCTTCCCATTCAAATATTTTTGTTCAACAAAGAGTTTAGTAATAGTCCCATGTACAGTGCCTTCCAAAAGTATTCATCCCCCTTGGCATTTTTCCTATTTTGTTGCATTACAACCTGTAATTTAAATGGATTTTTATTTGGATTTCATGTAATGGACATACATAAAATTGTCCAAATTGGTAAAGTCAAATGAAAAAAATAACTTGTTTAAAAAAATTATAACAAATAAATAACGGAAAAGTGGTGCGTGCATATGTATTCACCCACTTTGCTATGAACCCCCTAAATAAGATATGGTGCAACCAACTACCTTCAGAAGTCACATAATTAGTTAAATAAAGTCCACCTGTGTGCTATCTAAGTGTCACATGATCTGTCACATGATCTCAGTATATATACACCTGTTCTGAAAGGCCCCAGAGTCTGCAACACCACTAAGCAAGGGGCACGACCGAGCAAGCGTCACCATGAAGACCAAGGAGCTCTCCAAACAGGTCAGGGACAAAGGTGTGGAGAAGTACAGATCAGGGTTGGGTTATAAAAAACTATCAGAAAATTTTAACATCCCACGGAGCACCATTAAATCCATTTTTTTTTAAATGGAAAGAATATGGCACCACAACAAACCTGCCAAAAGAGGGCCGCCCACCAAAACTCACGGACCAGGCAAGGAGGGCATTAATCAGAGAGGCAACAAAGAGACCAAAGATAACCCTGAAGG